CATTATGAAAGTATTTGGTTTAGTAGATTCATTCATTGCAGCATCCTACCTTATGAAGGCATACCGTCTTCTGAATCCTTTCATTATGAAAGTATTTGGTTTAGTAGATTCATTCATTGCAGCATCCTACCTTATGAAGGCATACCGTCTTCTGAATCCTTTCATTATGAAAGTATTTGGTTTAGTAGATTCATTCATTGCAGCATCCCACCTTATGAAGGCATATCATCTTCTGAATCCTTTCATTCTGGCATTACAAGTATTTGATGAAATAAAAAATTCACGTGATAAACGAAGCAAAAAAAAATGATGAAGTTTTCATAAATCAAAAATAGAAAACCAGAAGTACAATAAAATTTTGCTCTCAATTGAAATTTCCCAAATTCACAAAGAATATAATAAATTAGAAGGACAAAGATTTACCATTAATATTCATTAAATTTTAATTTGAAAAATTAAACATAAATAGATGAAAAGAGCGAAAAGAATAATTTCAACTATTCCATAAATATTTCATTTAAATTTAACAAAAGAAAGGAGGAAAAGAAGAATATGTCGTATTTTGGAAATTCAAATAATCTTTCATTCTTTGTGATATTGGTAGATCCTTTACAAATCTACCATATAGAAGTTTTGATGTTGGAAATAATTTGCGTATTGCAAGACGGCATAAATGACATAATTTTGGCACCTGTAATTTTATAATTAAAAGAAATTGGAAGTATTATTATTATATTGTTAATAAATAATATAATAACATATGATTATCAAAAAAAGAAATCATCAATTTAAATAACCTTTGATTACAAAAATAATTATGGTTATCAAAAAAAGGGTAATCTTTAATCATAAAATAATTATAACTATAAAAAAAGAAGATTATCAATAAAAATATTATCAATTCAAATAATCTTTCAATCTCCACGGGTATCGTTGTAAATTTTTCAATTACCGAATACCGTTTATCATGAGTAGAAGAGAATTTGAATTTATTTTCATCATTTTATTTACGAATTTTGTTGAGGAAATAGAAGAGTTATTTTAATTACCTTCGTTATATCTGTTCTGATAACATTAGCTATTTCATTACAACAAGCTGGTATAAATGGTGAAAAGTACAGTAACATTTTCAACAACTTTTTCGCATTACCAATATTTGGTGATTCGATTATATCTTGCAAAAGTGAACGACCATATTTGCATCTGCACCAATTCTTAAAATTAAATATTTATAAAAAATGATTTTATCATAATGTGTTACATGTTTATCATTATATCATATCTTTTGCATGATATGTGTATATTATCCGAAAAAAATAAGTTAACAATTATTGTTATTGTAAACATGTAAAATTTGTGATATGATTATTACATTTTTTTTAAACATCAGCATTGATAATTTCAACGTTATTATCATTCAATGTAAATGATCGTGAATATTATTCAAACCTTTAACATTGGATCTAATCCGCATGATAGAAGTATAACCAATCGATACCATTTATACGATGATAAGCTAACAAGTAATGCATCGGGTACATTAAAAGTACTATCAGTGCTGAAAAGTTTACTACATTTTTCGCGTTTTTTTTCACTTAATTTGGAAAAAAATCATTTCCAATATTCATTATTAAATTAATTACATTTTTGATAATTCTTTTTTATTTAATTTAGAAAAAAAATCATTTCCAATATTCATTATTAAATTAATTACATTTTTGATAATTCCTTTTTATTTAATTTAGAAAAAAAATCATTTCCAATATTCATTATTAAATTAATTTCATTTTTGATAATTTCTTTTTACTTAATTTAGAAAAAAATCATTTCCAATATTCATTATTAAATTAATTTCATTTTTGATAATTTCTTTTTACTTAATTTAGAAAAAAATCATTTCCAATTTTTAAATAAATAATTTTTGAATATTACTTTTTTAAAAACCATTTTTAAGTTATAATTTTTATATTATTCTGTAATTGAATTTTAGCTTTTCTTAAAAAAAGAAAATCGCAAAAATATTTTATTTTGATTTTCAATTAAACAATAATAATAATAATAATAATATTAATTACCTTATAGCATTAACATCAACATCATTTTCTAAGTATTGCAATAAAATGTTGAAATTACGAAAATCTTGAAGAACAACCAAAAATGGTGAAAAGTATAAACTTGTATATGTCATCTAAAAATAGAATTAAAATTTCAAATTAAAACATTTACTGTTAGAGAAATTAAAAATTAAATTAAAATATATTTGATAAATTTTATTATTAAGGAATAAGGAAATAAAACAATAAAGAAATTTGAAAAACAAATATCTAACCTTAGCGCCAGCTTCAATTAAAAATTTAACAATTGCATAATTATCATTTTGTGTTGCAACATATAATGGTGTGCAATATTCACGAGCTATTAACGGATATGTATATAAATGTGGCATCTCAATACCTTCCTCCCAATAACATGGAACCTAAAATAAATTTCATTAAGAAAAATTTCAATTGTTTTTATAATTTTCATAAATTATTAATTAAGCAAATTTTCAGCGATTTATAAAACAAAAAAAAAAAGATTAATTATTTCGTAAGCAAAAACAAAGAAATTTTTTTTTAAAAATTTTTAGAAGCAATTTATTTTCAGCGAATAAATTCTTACTTCAAGTGAATAACCAAAATTTACTAGCAAAGTTAGAGAATCGTAACATTGACTAGAAGCAGCTGCTTGTACCGGATCAAGCTAAATATAAATTATTAGAAATCATTTCATTTTATTTTTAGATTTCAATATCATTTGTTACTGTAATTCAGTATACTGCAAATTAAATAAATCAATATGTAAATTAAGCAAAATAAAATAATTAATTAGTGCAAAAAATAATAAACTTACATCTGTTACCATTAATACGTCATGATTGACGTGCGGTAAAAGTAATTCAACACATTTTGGATGCTTATTTAAGGCTGCTAAAGCAATTGGATGCATTCGATTACAATTAGGAACATTACAGTTTGCGCCATATTTGATTAGTAATTCAAGAATCTAAATTTCAAGAATCAAATTAATTAAGTTCAAAAGTTACGGTGTCTTTTTTCCCAGCATTTGATTAGGTTCCTATAAAAAAATTAATTAAAATAAAAATCCGTGAATAATAACTATAATTAATAATAATAATAATAGCAATAATAGTAATAATAATAATAACAATAATAATAATAATAGTAATAATAATAATAATAATAATAATAATAATAATAATAATAATAATAATAATAATAATAATAATAATAATGATAATAATAAAAATAGCAATAATGATAATAATAATGAATAATAGTAATGATAAGTAATAATAGCAATAATAATAAATAATAATAATTTCAACGTTTTAAATCATCTCAATAAATTTCGTTCCATTAAATAGTTTTCTTCATTTTAATCTTTATCAAATTTAAAATATATCATATCAAAATTAAGAAATCACATTCTAAATTTAATTTTGCTATAATAATTTAAGATTTGAAATAATGAAAAATTTATTTACTTTTGCATATCCACCATTAACTGCAATAAGAAGGGATGTTTGTCCATCTCTTGTTCGGATGTTAGCTAATTCAGCAGCTTTATCTGATGAAATAAAATTAAAATTAATATTAATTAAACTTTGTTTTTCATTTCAACTTATTGTTGCAAATTTTAGTTAAGTAAAAATTAGGTAAAAAAAAAACAAAGAATTAAAAATTAAAATAATTTTTAATTTTAATTATTCACGTTCTTCTTATATGTTATAAATAATTTCATATATAATTAAATAATTAATCATAAAAATAAACAATGAAAATATATTCATACCTCCAGCTTTATTCAAAAGCCATTCTACACCATCGTAGAAATTCATATTTACAGCAATCATTAACGCCGTAGAACCATCCCAACTGAATCCAAAAATATTGCAACCCCATTCAACAAATTTTTTCATCATTACCTAAAAACAAATAAAAGCAAAATTAATTAAATTAATTTTTTTGTTCATTTTTATTTGTATCATTTTATTATACAGAATTTAATCTTAATTGTAGTACATTTTTTGATAAAAATAATTCTTTATTAAATAGTAATTAGTAAAGTATTATTCGCTTGAAAAT